GTACGTATTCCGAAGATTCGAACAGCTTCTTGTCCCTCTGGTGACCCCTCAGAACAGATGAAGTCTGGTGATGAACTATGCCCATAAGTGCAGAAAGTCTAGACAAGGATGATATGTAGGATTAGGATTCGTAGCTTGGATAATAATCCTTCTTTTTGACCAAAGCCAGGAGGACATGGTAAGTTTGTTTGAAGCTTCATGCTACAGTGTTAAACTTGATCAACAGACACAAAACGTATTGAACTTGAGATGGTACAGCATAAACATCCAATCGTCAAACCCGGATATTAATTTACATTTGAGCATTCCACAACCACTTTTGTTGGATAGCTCCTTCGCCAACACAAAGCACTTCATCCACATCATACATAGTATAAATATGTAGTTGTCAGTATTGTACCACAAGATGGCACCGTTACAATTAAATACATAACTATCCATTCGAGCCAGGCGGCCCAACAAAGCTCCACCCAATCAAGTCAGCCACTTGCAATGGGTAAGGTTGGCCAGGGTGCCGTCCCAAGCAAGGTCAAAGGCCCAGGTTGTTATGTTTCATCCTGTGCCAATTGCTCGAAAGGCCCTTGAGCGCAGAACCAACACTCGAGTTACGTGTTTTTGGAAAAATGAGCAGACACTTATTTAGGTCGTTCGCCAGAGGTTGATTGCTGGGATACTCTGATACTCTCAACAACTTGCAAGCACTGCACACCTCCGGTGCTTGGCAATGAATCGAGCAGTAACCGCGCCAACACCTCCGTCCATCTGCCCCGTCGGCAACAGCACCGGCTGGCAGACTACGGTTGATAATTATGAGCAGGCAAACGGATATTGGAAGTTTGGCAAAAGCTTACAATGGTTGGAGAGGAAGGAGACGGCCCGGTCTCGCGGATTCGGATGGCTAGGAAGCCGAGGAGGACATCGACTTGTGCTGCTGATACAGTCGATAGGGCTGCCGGGTCGAAGACCTTCAAGTTCCTGCACACTGCTCTCTCAACCAACCCCACTGATCTTGAATCCACTTCATTCATCAGGCTCATCGTCCACCCGCGATCGTGGATAAAAGCTGGCTTGGCTGCGTTCTTCTTTTCAGTCCCCCTCCCTCCATTCCTGATCACCCTCCCCCTTTTTGCAATCTGTACACGTTGTCGATACCCACCCTAACGCTTCTCTCCTTAGTGACCCAAACAGCCCCCACACACACACTCTTGCCAGCGTCCTCTCATCTCTCTGTCCCGCCTCCCAGAATGCGTTTCATGATGACCTCCGTTATGCTTGTGAGTGCGCTTCTGCAGGGTTTTCTCGTCATGAGTCTCCCTCAGGGTACAACTACTACAGCTACCGCGGTGGACCCGGCAGGAAATTCGAACATCGTCGATCTTTCGCAGCGGTTGCAGGGAGTCTTGGATGCCGTCAACGCCGGCGACTCGATGAGAGTGTACACCCTGTCCTCCAGTCTGCTGCAATACGACATCCGAATGAGCAGCAGTGATGGCACGGCCGTCACCACGGAGACTGACATGTTATCGAGCATGAAGTGGGTCCCGTTGTGTTCTCTAGTCATAATTTCATCTATATACGTCACAAGGAGTGCTCGCCGCTGAACTTGCACTTACAATTGGCTTTTTTTTTTCTAGTGAGTTTCTTGCTGGAGTAGCTTACCACACCTTCGACCTCCCAACGGTAAGATACCACAGCCTGCAAGCCCTAGATCTGATGCAACAATCCGGGTATGTAAAAATGCTTGCACTCTTTATAAAAAGCTCTGCCAACAAAAAACACGCCCGACTGACCACCATTTCCTCACTTTGGCAGGG